CAATCCCCAGTACTATCCAAGTAATATCAATGATTATGAGGAAGAAGATGTGGAGAAAAAATAAACCTTTACACATTGTTACTGGACATGCAAAGACATTAAAGAAAGCAGTATGAAGACTCCTCAAAAAAACTAAAAACAGAGTTAGCTATCCCACTCTTGAATATATAACCAAAGAAAATTAAGTAAGCATCCAAAAGAGATGCCTATATTCCCATGTTTATTGTGAAACTGTTCACAATAACCAAGATATGAAATCAGCCTCGGTGCCTGTCAGCAGATGAATGGGTAAAGGAAATACGGTATGCTTACACAATGGAGTATTATTCAGCCATGAAGAAAAAAGGAAGACTTTCATTTGTATGAAAGTGGGTAGAATTGGAGGACCTTATGTCAAGACAAATATGCCCAGCATAGAGAGAGACACATATCACATCTTCTGTCTTATATATGGAAATTTAACAACAAAGAGAAAAATGAGTTGAAAAAGCAGAAGTAAAATTACTAGGGACCAGGAAGGGAGCCAGGGAAAGAGAGGAATAAGAGGAGGGTAAAGGAAAAGTGGATGAATGTGATCAGTGCAGTATAAGTCTTTATGGAAAAGCCACAGTTGATCTCATGAATTTATGCAATTAATATGTGGTAATAATTACAAAAATAAAAAATAGATTTTCCTAATTAAAAAATATGACCAAATAACATTGTTAGTCTGTATAAGAAAGAAACACCTGGCTAACATTACTAATACTGGCAGTCCTAAGAGTGCTGATACTTCTTAGCTTTACAAATGGGCTCTGAACTTGATTATGCCTTTAAGAAGTCATCCAAATGTCTATCAGAAACACTAGCTTGACTCTTCCCAGTCACTGTTCTCAGCACTCCACACATAGGGTCAATGAAAAATGTATGAAATAGGTACTGTTCTTACCTCCATTTTTACAGATGAGGCAGGCAAGGCACACATGATTTGCTCAAGTCCCATACTTAACAAGCAGGTGAGCTAGAAGCCTAATAATAACGAGTGCCTCAAAGATCAAATAAGGATAAAATAATGAAAGGAATGACAATTAGTAAACATTTTGCCCGGTTCAGGTGAACTGCTCAAGAAAATAACGTTGTTTTATTTTTTGTTGCAGTACTGTGTCAATTCCCACAAGGACTTTATCCTACATTCTATGGCAGTTTCCTCATGGGTCTGTTTGAAATGTCTTCCCTAGCCACCTGTTAAAAGCTAATTGCCAGTATTTTTTAAAAGATGCCAATTAACATTTTTTTCACCTAAGGCAATAATATACTCCACAATTTCTCTGCTGAATAAACTAGATACAATGTATATCACTGAAATGGATATAAAATTGGGATGAACCCTCACCAACTTTCAGACAAAATGGAGAAGACCACACTTTAGCATAATGTTCCTCTACACGCTGATCAGCTTTTAAAGAGAGAATCTTCCAGAATTACAGGTCCAGTTCCAATTTACACTGGTGAAGAAAGAGCTGCGAAAGGCTAGAAGAGCTAGAAAACTATTTCTTTTAAACGAGTGCCCAAGAAGCCCACCTGTATGTCTTGTGAACAGTCACAGCACAAGTTCATATCAGGAAAGAAAATATCTTACATCTTATTTCACCTCTTCATCCACATCTGACTTCTCAGTTCTGACCCACCCCGCAAAGCATCCCTCACTGCCTTTCCTGTATCAAAAAGTGAGTATGTCCACACTTCCTCAATACTACCTTTTTGTGAAGATGGATTATGAGATCCATCTGAATGTGAATTTCTAATACTCTTCATGGAATGTCTTGTTTAAAGTGACCTAAAATGTCACGTAGGCTTGTTTTTAAGTGACTAAACAGGCATCAAATGAAAAGGATAATCTTACTCCCTTTGCAGAGTGATACATCAGAAATAACTATCTCTGACCATTAGGTATTCTTCCAGGGGGCTGGGGATTTAGCTCAGCGGCACAGCTCCTGCCTGGCAAGCGCAAGGTCGTGAGTTCAGTTCCCGCTACCGGAAAAAAAAAACAAAAACAAACAAAAAAAAGGTATTCTTCCAGATATTTCTGAATAGACATATAGATAAAATTACACTACATGTAATGGGCTTGAAACTGTCTAAATCTAGCAAAATACTATTATCACATCCACGTCAGTATATGTAAACTTCCAATTTTATTCCGCAAAAGAAATTCTTTTAATTTATTTAGCCAATTATCCATTCTGGTGAATTTTTTATTATTTGCAGTATTTTATTTTTACAAATAATGATGAAAATAACATCTTTGAATAATTATCTAGGTACCCTTGTGCTGGTAGTTCCATAAAATATTAACATGAATTTTTGAAAGATAAAACAGAAAAATTCTCCAAAAATGAAGGCTAGGGAACAGGAAGAGCTTGAGAACCTGCGTCTCACAGATGCTGGCTGGCATGGCCTTGGGCCCTCAGTCCTAGTGATTATGATGGTACAAAGGCATGGATGAACCTCTTTGGGAATTTGTTCCCGGTAAGCACCTATTTCAAAAAGGACTTTGCAATGCCTTAGTTTCAAGGATTCTCAGAGATAAGAACACAAGATAAATGCCCAAGAGGATCCTTGACTCCAGCAAGTACTTTACGATAAGAAACCCTTATTGGTCTGCAAGTCAAACCCTTCCCTAATTTCCTAAAACACAGTCCTATGTTTGTCCTGAAGCCTGGAAAAGCAAAAGGGATCCAGGTCCAGATGAATATGTCTCAATATATTTTTAAACCAGCTAAAAAGACACTTTTAGAATTACTGGCTACTTTTATGGCTTGTGTGTGGATGTCCCCCAAAGCCTCACACAGTCAGTGGGCTTGCTTTTCGGAGGAAGCCAAATATAGAGTTTGTGATTGATTCATTGGTTCAATGCTGGGACTAATACTGTGAGTGCTACACCCACCCTAGGACAGGTAGCCTGCATACAATATAAGGGACAGAGAAAAGTCTGTCTCCTCTCTTTACTTGTCACTTTTGCCATCTTCCACTGCCATAAACAGTTGCCCCTCTGCCGTGTCATCCTGCTTTGGAGACAGCAGATTATGGACTGAAACCTCTACAAACTGTGAGCTAAATAAACTTTTCCTTCCTTTAACTTTGGGTGTCAGGTATTTTCATCCCACCAATGAGAGAAAAATAGCTAAGAGAGCTATCTTTTATTCCTCTCCCATTGTATAAAAATTCAGAAAGAACCAAGCACAGTGATGCATGCCTGTAATCTCAGCTACACAGGAGGATCCCAAGTGCAAGGTGAGCCTGGGCAACTTAGTTAAATCACATATCAAAGTAAATATAAAAAGGGTTGAGGATATAGCTCATTGGTAGAGTGCTTGCCTAGCACAAATGACAGAACTCAATCTTTTGAACATTTCCCAAGCTCTGCTTCCAGGCACAAAACCTAAAATGCATAACAAGAGTGATTTACTTCTGTACCAGCAGGTTGGAGATTGTTATTAGACAAAGAAAAAGGATCGAGGAGATATCCAACATTTTCATTTTACAGAGAAAAAAATAATAAAAATAATGATACAAATTTTCAAAACAAGATAATAGGAGATTAACAATGGTTGTTCTATTGCATATTGTTAGCTACAAACTAGTTACTCAGGTTACAAGAAATAGGCATGCAAAATTCATCAAATAATATAAGCACAAACTATTCCTTTCAATGAACTAACAGAGATTAAGGCTATAATTATCTTAACTTTTATAAATAGATAGATAGATACGTTCTTTTCTCTTTCTTATTTTCTCCTTTCCCCTAAGTTGTTCTTTCCTTTTCAACAGTTTCTTTCCTTTTCACAATATCTATTTTACCTTTGGATTTTATTTACTCTTTCAGTTTCTTACACTAGAGAGACAATACAATGTTTGCATATGTGAGTCTGATTTATTTCACTTAGGAGTATAGTCCCCGGTTCATCCATTTACTTATTAAAGCCTCAAGTTTATCTTTCTTTATAGCTGAGTAATACTCTATTGTATAAAGATATCACATTTTTTTAACCATTCCTCAAATGATCAGCATCTGGGTTGTTTCCAAGATTTAGCTATGACAAATTGTGCTGCTATAAATATGGGTGCACATATATCACTGCAGTATGATGTTTTTAATTCTTCTGGAAAAATACCCGGAAGGGAAATAGCTGGGTCAAATGGGATCTCTAGTCATAGTTTTTTGAGGAATCTCCACACTGACTTCTACAATGGTTGCACCAGTCTACACTCTCAACAAGAGTGGAGAAAGGTTCCATTTTTCCCACAGCCCTATCAGCATTTATTATTGGTTGATTTCTTGATAATAACCATTCTTTCTGGGGTAAGATTGAATTTCAGTGTTGTTTTAATTTGCATTTCTCAAATGACCAATGATGGTGAACATTTTTTCCTATATTTATTTGCCATTTATTCACCTGAGAAATGTGTATTCATCTCAGATGCCCGTTTTTGCATTGGGTTTTTGAATGTTGGAGGCCTGATTTTTTAATTCTTTATATGTTCTAGACAGAAGTCCTTTGTCTGAGGGACTGTTAGCTAAATTTTTTCCCAAATTATGGGTTTTGTTTTTACTCTGTTGGTGATTTCTTTTGATGTGCAAAACCTTTCAAAGAGATGAGACCCCAGTTATCGATTTTTTGAAGTATTTCCCATATAATTTGATTCTTGCACTTATATCACTGTGGTATGATGCTTTTAATTCTTCTGGAAAGATACCCAGAAGTGGAGTAGCTAAGTCAAATGGGACCTCTAACCCTGAGAAGAGGGCCGCAGAAACGAAGAAGGGAATTTACAAATATATTCTGTGAAGAGCTGGATTGAAACCAACAGACATTCTGTTTGGGTCAGATTGCACAGAAGACTTTACCATAAAGAAATTTCAAGGGAAATCTACAACCTCTACCCAATATTCCAGGGTGTCGCTCCCATTCTCATCATATATTTCTCTTTTGCAGCTTCACAGGCGGAAGAAGTTAGCAATGAAAAACCAAACTTTAACTGAATTCATCCTATTGGGACTCACAGATATCCCAGAGCTTCAGACTGTCCTTTTCCTTTTTCTCTTCCTCACGTACTTGTTAAGCATTGTAGGCAATCTGACCATCATCATCCTCACACTGCTGGACTCTCACCTCCAGACTCCCATGTATTTCTTCCTTAGGAATTTCTCCTTCTTGGAAATTTCCTTTACATCCACTTTTACTCCTAGAATGCTGTTCAGCATCTTAACTGGGAATAAGACTATCAGCTTTGCTGGGTGCTTCACTCAGTATTTCTTTGCTATCTTCTTTGGGGCCACGGAGTTTTACCTTCTGACTGCCATGTCCTATGACCGCTACGTGGCCATCTGCAAACCCCTGCATTACACCACCATCATGAACAACAGGGTCTGCATACAACTGGTGCTCTGGTCTTGGCTATGTGGATTCCTGATCATCTTGTTCCCGATCATCCCAACCACTCAACTAAAGTTCTGTGCGTCCAACGTGCTAAATCATTATTACTGTGACTACGGACCCCTGATGGAAATATCTTGCTCAGACACAAGTCTACTGGAACTGTTTGACTTTGTCTTAGCAGTTGTGACCTTAGTGGCCACCCTAATGCTAGTGATTCTCTCCTACACGAACATCATCAGGACCATTCTGAAGATCCCTTCTGCTCAGAAAAGGAAAAAGGCTTTTTCCACATGTTCTTCTCACATGATTGTCATCTCCCTCTCTTATGGAAGCTGCATCTTTATGTACATAAAGCCTTCAGCTAAAGAAGGAGTAGCCTTCAATAAGGGAGTAGCTGTGCTCAATAACTCAGTTGCCCCTTTACTGAATCCATTCATTTACACTCTAAGGAACAAACAAGTGAAACAAGCCTTCAAGGATATGACTAGGAAAATATTGCATCTTTATTCATATTAGTGGCCTCAAAATAAACAGACATTTTGGATGATATTTATGATGTTTTGTTCAGGTGATGTTTCAGATAAGTTGAATGTGAGCACATGTCAAAAGTTTGTTTGAAATTTCCTGGCAAGAGAAAGCACTGAAAGAAAACCAGTTTGGGGGCTGGGGATTTAGCTCAGCGGCAAAGCGGCTGCCTGGCAAGTGCAAGGTCGTGAGTTTGGTTCCCGGTACCGGAGAAAAACCAAAAGAAAAAAAAAAAAAAAAAAGGAAGAAAACCAGTTCAACTTTTTCTCATAAGTATCTTTTAATAAACGGTAAAAGCAGGAAACTAATATTGTCTGACTGTATGAAGAAAATTATCTAACAACTCTTTGCTTATCATAAGTCTGTTGGTCTGCTGAATGTCTATCTGTCTACTCACAAGGAGCTCTTAGTCTCAGCAATAACTATCAAAATATTACAAATACTGTTCACTGTCAGAAAGGACTACCTACATCTCAGAAGTTATTCATGACTTTATGCTATAACAAAAAGTTTATTCCAGATCATTTTTCCTTGAATTTTATACAGTTTGATTTCAGAAGCATCTTCCACTGACAGCTCCTACGACTGCCTCTTTCTAGCATCTCCTGCAGACATGTTTTCCTATTGTATAATGTTAGGCTGTGTGAGTTCTCACAAGGACATTTCTCACTGCTTAATTGAAAGGCTAAAATCAGACTGAAAGCTCTTATAGGGGAATTATCTGGTCAGTATTTAAAGGGAGAGTCAGGCAAGGATAAACATTAGGCATGTTCTATGAAAAGCTATCAAGCTAGAAGTGGCGAAGATGGGCTTGATTTTTATTTTTTTACAAAGGTTGTTGTATTACATATTGATATCTTCAAAGTGGTTTCTCAGGAAAACAAATCAAGACATGCAATATTGATCAAACAAGTAATCATTAACTCTTCTTTTCAGTAGGGCTTGATTTTTAGATGATGCATTTGAAGGTGATTCTGGGGCAGTCATGAAGGATGCTATTACCCTTCTTCACAACTTCCTGTAGTCAAGGTGCACTGGGTATTCCTCCGATCTTGCCAGTAACATGTAGCTCCTGGCTTCTGTCCTTCAGTGGAGCCATTAAGCATCTAATATTTCAGGCCCCATTATCTCCATTAACATCATTCCTGCCATCATTCTTTGTGAATGAGAGGCATCATCAAACTTCTGTGATGCTGGTGCCCTTCTCAGAGACACTATTCTCATGTCCTTGGTGACTGTACCACCTGTGGAACAAATCATTTAGTGGATCTTATGCACTTACAACATCCACCCATCATGCCCACTTTATGCACTTTCAATATCCCATCATGCCCACCTTCCTCGGCCTGGATTCATCTGTCATCTTTCGGGAAATGTGAGTATTCTCACATCACTAAGAGTGAAGCATTACTTTTTCTAGGCTCTAAGAGCTACCCTAGAAGAAAAGTGAGGCACTTGCTAGGGTATTAAATCCCACATCTTGAGAAAGTGTTTCCAACCCAATAAATTCTAGATAAGCCAGGCTTACACACTGGACTCCTTATCCCAAGAATATGCCTTTGTCTCAAGACAGCACAAGTTAGCTGGTCACTACAATCCTTTCAGTGTATAGATTCTTTCATTCCATATTAACACTTTATGCATAGGTTTAACCCTAACATATCAGCCTAGCATTAAGGCGGGGAGTTGCGAAGTGCTTCTGAGGGAAGCATCTAGTGCAGTGGTGACGAACCTTTTAGAGGCCAAGTATCCAAACTGCAACCCAAAGCCCATTTATTTAGCACAAAGTGCCAACACTGCAATTAAACTCAATACTGAGGTTTTAGTTTAGAAAAACAATGCCTACATTAACATCTTTAGTCGTAAAAGAAAAACAAATAATATATAAGTTCACCACCTCTGATCAAGTGGTTTGTGGAGGAAAGACCTCTAAATCATCTTCCATGCAGTTCTTACTAGGACAGTGCCCATATCTGCAATGAGCTCTCTTTCCATTACAGAAGACAAATTCCTCTTTATAAGGTACTACATGGGCGCTCTGGCCCTCACAACTAGCTTTTAACTGCTTGTTCACAGTCTTCAGGCTGTCATTCTCCACCTTTAGGGCATCAATTCACCTTACAAGTAACTATTCAACTCTATTATCTTAGTAGACATTTATTCTCCTGTATTTTTTGAATGCCTGCTTCATTATCTCTGCCACTGCATTCCCCTACATTGAGATACTGTCCTTATAAGCAACAATGAATTTTTTAACTATTGCACACAAGATAGTACCAATTTGACTACTAGGAGATTTGTAAGACTTTGATGCACTGAAATTAATGATAGAAACATTAAAAATTAAAGTTAGCTCAATGCCCAACTAGATGAAATATTAATTCACCAAATGCAGAATAAAATATATTTCTATTTCTGGCTATATATACTGTTTATCTCAGTTCCAAATATTTTTCTACACATGATGTTCACCATCAAATTAAAAAACTACAAGGTACACAAAAAGCAATAATAAGCAGCCCACTAGCAAAACATATGGCAGTAAATATAAATAAATAGACTCAGATATAACACAAACATTGAAATTATCAGACAGGGACTATATAATAATTGTGATTACTATGTCAAAGGGACTATTGAACAAGGCTCAGTATCCTTGAAAGTTCAGGAATATCTATCGAAAAACACAAAGTATTTTTAAAGTATAATGCAATGCTAGACATAGAATACTCAGGAAAAGAAATTTTAAATTTCTGCATAGAGTCATAAGTCCACTTGACACAGTTTAAGAAAGACTTAGTGAGCTGTAAAGTGTGTTAGCAAAAATTACCCAAATAAAATATAAATGTCAAAAAAGAGAAGTGAAGGAAGGCAGAACCATTCCAGAGTAATAAGACAACATCAAACAATTAAATCTATACACAATGTAGTCCCAGGAGAGAACAAGTGGGGGGGAAGAAATATTTGAAATAGGCACACTGCCCCTTTACCATTGAGGGAACCTCAGTGAGCTGCTCAGGAAGGAAGAGAACCCACCCATTGCCCCTCCACCATCAAGGGAGTTTCTATCAGGCATGTGGTAGAGGAGAGATCCCACCCATGGCCCCTGGTTCATCAAAGGAAACTCAGTGAGTCATGCTGAGCTATGCAAGAGGGGAAAGACCCCACTCATCACCTCTGATGTAGAGGGAGCTTCACTCAAAGGAAACCAAGATGCCTCGTCAATCTCCATACACTATGGTACAGGCAGCCAGTGGAGAAAGCACCTGGGACATAGGCTTACCACACTGGCTGCCTATCCCAGAGCAATCAGCTCAAATGGAGGAACCCAGGGTAAATCCACTCTAACAAGGGGAAACACTGCATTAAAAACTCCTAATTTATGATTGGTTCTGTATTATAACTGTAGATTTCACTCCTGTGGTCTAAAGTACAAACTCAGTAGTTATCACAGTCTGTCAATTCCAAAACTGTGCTTCATTGTATCATTACTGTGAATTGTATTCCTGTAGCTAAGATATCATATCTGTTGTAATCAGTTGTTCTGTTCTCCCCTGTGTAACAATATTGGAAGCTCTGGGGTAATAACATCACCACAGCGCTACATCAAAAGACTGGGGACAGAACTAAACAAAAAACAACATCCCACTCTCAACTAATTGGGAAGGTAGGATCTTGGGACAGACACAAGCTAAGAATCTCTTACACATACAGGATAATCCTCAAGAGCAGATTTTCCTAGAGAGGCCTTGATAGTAGCGATTTAGCTACCTATTAGCAAAATTCACAAGGATCACCACAGAAAACAAAGTGAAAAGTTTTAGAATTAGAAAATGTTAAGATGAAGAAGCAAAATGCAGTCTAAACCTCCAGCCTACCCAGAACAAGGCCAGGAAATACTGGCAGAAGAAATTTGGAGTTACACACCTGAAATTTCTGAAATGACAGTAATTGAAGTAAAGAAACAACTCCAGGAGACTGCAGAGGAAATTAGATCAGAAATAATCTCTCAGGTAAAAAAAGAAATGAAAATCATAATGAAAGAATTGCTCAGTGTATCTAAAGAAGACATAGATTTAAAAAAAAAAAAACCAGAGGCACATAGGAAAATGATGGAAACCTGAAATAAACCATGTAGAAAAGAATTCAAATGCATGAAACAGATTCAAAGAGATAGCCAGGAAATTTAAAATTCCATGCAAAGCTGGCAAAACTGCTTGAGTGAAACTGAAGACAGACTTTCAGACCTTGTAGACAGAATTGTTGCTAGTGATAATGAAAGGAAAAATTACTTAAAAACAACAAGGAATCAGGAAATAACAATTCAACACTACAAAATGATGCAAATAAAAATGGTATAAGAAGGACAGGTAGGAAAGGAGTCAACAAAAAATCACATAAAAAGGCTATTTGCCTAATAATAGCAGAAATTTTTTCAAGCATAGGAAAAGAATCTGACATACAGTTAAGTGAGTTAAGAACTGAAATTATCATTATTTACAGACGACATGACACTTTACATGGAAGACCCCTAAAACTCCACAAGAAGACTCTTTCAATTAATCAACAAATTCAGTAGCGTAGCTGGATGTAAAGTCAACGCTCAAAAATCAACAGCATTCCTATACACAAACAACAAACACACTGAGAGAGAAATTAAGGAAACCATACCTTTCACCATAGCATCCAAAAAAATTGAAATACTTAGGAATCAATCTAACAAAAGAAGTAAAAGATCTATTCAAGGAAAACTACAGTACTCTAAAAAAGAGATCAAAGAGGATTTCAATAAATGGAAAAATATTCCTTGCTCATGGATAAGAAGAACCAACATTGTGAAAATGGCCATACTTCCAAAACTGCTGTACAGATTCAATGCAATTCCCATTAAAATACCATTAGCATACCTCACAGATCTTGAGAAAATATGCCTTAAATTCATCTGGAACCAGAAGAGACCCAGAATAGCAAAAGCAATCCTGGGCAACAAG